GAAATGTTGTGTTTGATAACATTTTCTAGTGTTTCTATAACAATCAAATGCTTCCCCCAAAATTTCCTCCAACTCCTTAAAAGCTAGGAGAATACTAGTCATCTCTCTAAACCCATAAAAAACACACTAACTTAAACAGCATCAAAACATATTAAGAACAAAAATATTCCATTAAACAGATACTTGGGAAGATGACAGCAGATAAATCTCCTAATAGCAAACAGAACTTTCTTTTTCCAGCCTATTCCAGCTGCCACAAAGCTGAAAAAGTGATTATTCTTGAGTCTCATAAAACTCTCACAAGCACAAGATTTTCATTTCATGCTGTTTTAAATATAACCAAAGATTTAATCTTAGTTTAGCATCACAGGAAGACCGTGCCCTTGAAGAACAAGAGCTATTTTCAGTATTTTCAATAACACCTGTGCTTGCACATTGCTAGGCCTTTTTGCTTGTCCCAGCATGCGGCTTGAAACAGACTATTGTTACATGACCTTTTGTGAAACTGCCGCTATCAGCAACCCACAGAAACAGGGCACTTTTATGTGGAACACATCACTGAATTCCCCAAGTGATCCACTGCTAGTGATAGAGGAAAAGAGGCACAAGAAGTTAAATCAAAGTAAAAGAAACTAACAAAACAAAGCAAGCAGCCAACCAACTGCAACAACAAAAGCTAAAACTACCCTAGAAGAAGGCAGACAGAAATCACTGGAGTTTGACCTTATTCGGAGCATCAGTTCCACATGAATGTAAATGTTAAAAGTGCATGTGAAGAAGAACAAGTGAACTACAGATAATGCTGTTATTACTACTGATTCAGAAAGGCTAACGATATGTAGTATGAGATGGGAAGGACACCAGTTATCCAGCCAACTCCCTCTACTGGCTATAATTTTAAACATCCAGCACATGTAGGGAGATCAAAATGAAAATACTTCTTAAATAAAGCCATGAATTATCTGCAAACCATCTTCTCTAAGTTCAATTCTGTCCTTGACTGAAGATGCTGCTTGATACTTGTAATACATCCATTAATAGGTGCACCACTTTGTTTCCTAGAGTGTTTTCATCATGAACTTTCAATGTGAACAGATCTTGTAACACGTGAATCATGAACTGACAGTCAGAAGAGATAAGGACAGCTGTCAAATGAAACAAACTAATCAAGCTGTTATTTCAACCACCTGATTAGTTGGGAATGATGCTATTTGATGATTTTTTTGCCTTCTCATTTAAATGATTGTTGCCTTTTCTGCCACTACCATTTAGTTCTTTTTGAAACAATACAAGAATTCATACAGACTATATCATACCAATCTTTGGAATAAGATCCTCATCAGCACCTTTGAAGAAGCATATGTAGATAACAAGTCCTCTCTGGATCTACAAAAGATTAGAGAAAACAATATCAATTTTTCTCACTGTCTACCATGCAGGTTTATCCTTAAAACTGATACAGAAAGGGACAAAACTACAATGACAAAATTCCCAAGATTAGTTTTACTTATTCCATATAGCTTCAGATTTCAAATTTACTTACGGAAGTTTATGAGATATCAACTGATTACCTGCACGGTGCTGCTACCATGCAATAAAGCCAATTTGTTAGCTGCATGTGAAGCCACACTTTGTTGTAACATACCATGCACAGTATTACTGTTATTACAGATCAAATAATTTACATATAGTTTGCATACATACAGTATGAAACTTAGCTTTATTTACAACTATGAAATGTCAAATGCCATGGGATTTGTCAATGAACGGAATTATATTTTGATGTTAAAAATAAACTAGTGAAGGATAATTCTAACAAAACAGTTAATTAAACATTTAGATGTGACAACCAATTTAAATATGATGACCAGTTATGAAAGTTGTTCAGAATACTAGAAAGTTATCAAAAATGTTATCCATCAGTGAAACCTCTTTGACAAAGTTTGACTTTTCCCTTGATTTGTGTGGGGTAAAGGATATGCCACTTCCTTAGCAATTTAAGAGACCACTAGAAAGAACTGTCCATTTGAGGAAAGGATTAGGTCTGCAGTAACAAGAAAGCATAAAACAATTCCTTTTAACTCTTTTTTCTCTCTGGCTTAGTTCACAAAGAATACGTGTGCAACAACCTGTGCTTTATTAAGAAAATAAAGCTATTTGGCTACACAACCAACAGGAATGCTGTCTCATGTTCAAGTATATGTCAATGATTTAACCTCTTCAGGAAAAAATAGAAAGCACACACAGCTTGACAATAAAAAAATCATACCCTGTCACTGCTGTTTTGTTAAGAATAATCACCCTTCCATCCCTGTTAGAAGGAAAATTAACATCAGCACAGAGAAAATATGAAATGCTACCAAAGAGATGCTAATTAGATCGGAGCAGGAAGGATTCTTTACTTTCAATGTTTTAAAAACAAAAACATAAGATATATGAGTATTTTTTAAAATAAACAACAAAAAACACACAAAACCACAACCCTTTGTCTTTTCCTTTCCTTTTTTACTTATTCTTTTCTTTATAAGATAGAGGCTTTTAGTAAAGAAAAAAAACTATACACATGAGATTTCATTCTTTTGTTATTGTGGAGACTGAACAAAACACTCAATGCAATGAGTAAGGAGAGCTATATCTTTGTAATTATTTTTCTAGTTACCAACATATGGAAAAAAGGAATGCTCTTCACAGCCAAAATGTCACATGCTGAGATTCTTTCAGAAGCTATAAACTGCTCCTTACAAAACTCATTCTGACCACCACAAAATACTACACAGGTTTCCATTCCCAAATGATTGTCATATTTCATAAACAGTGTAATACATTTCATGCCCTAAACGCATTGGCATAATGGCATTTCAAATAGCATTTCAAAGGCTCTATTCAAATGACAGAAAGAAATAAAAGCTGCTAAAGGATAGACAGTCTTACTTACTTAGCTAAATATTAGTTCCAGAACCAGACTAGCATCAGGATGTTAATAAAGAATAATGCACACATATCTATTAATAAAAATTATTAAGTTGGTCAAACACATTCACACTACATGTATACAAACACTAACTTAGAAAAAAACAATTATGCTATACTGCACACCCCCCAGATAACTACTACTCCAATCTTGAGACTTCCGAAAGTTTTTGAATATTTTTACATACAGAAGTAACAATATTCTGCAGAATGCTCATTTAAAAAGAGAAAAAAGGAAAGAAAGTCAAATTTAAGACTTTAAGAACAGATAACTAAAAATCATCATTATTAGCTATTGCATTAACTAACAAAGTTTTTCAGCCTCTCGCAAGATTTGGTGTTTAATTCAAAATACAATTTTTCTGTCACAAAATTTGATACGTATCAGCTTCAACATCTGTTACACTCAGAAAGATTAACATAGCAGAAGGGCAACACAGGAATAGAACAGCAAAGAGACTATTATAAATGAAACAGTATCACAAAAGAAAAGTAAAGGTGCTCATCCATCCAGAAAGATCCAGGCTCACAGAACAAACTTCACCAAAAAGAAATCTGCAGAGACCCTTCCCCAGTGGGGGTCAGCCCTTAAATGGGGTCTAAGAGGGGTGCAGCCAGGCTCCACCTCTTCCAGTCACACAGCTGAATTACCTTCACCTGTGCTCCCATGCCTGACCAAGTCCTTTCCCCAGGTGCTCAATCAGTGGTTCAGACCATGACTCAACAGTTACTGTACAGTGTTTCACAGCAAATAAATATGAAATGCAAAAATCTGAATTCAAAGGCAAGTAAATGCTGAGAATGTTTCTGTTTTTATTGTATGCTGTACAGGAACTGCTGAGTCACAGCCTGAACCTCTGATTGATCACCTGAGGCGAGCCATGAGTCAGCCAGAGGAGCACAGGTGAAGGCAATTCACCTGTGCTGCCGGAAGGGCTGGAGCTTGGCTCCATCCCTCCTAGATCTATTTAAGAGCTGGCTACCAGTGGGGATGGATCTTGATGGATCTTGTTTGGAGATCCCCTCTTCTGTTGTTTTTTTTTGTTGTTGTTTTTTTTGGTTTTTTTTTTTTGTTTGTTTGTTTTTGTTTTTTGTAGGTGAGCCTAGCATATGGGTAAGCTTTCCATTTATTCTCTCTTGTTATTTTAGTCTACTTTGCCTAACTCTCTTGTTCTTTTTGTGGTTATAGCATCTTAATATCCATTGATTATACATATGTTTATTATATTCTAGAATGTTTAGAAGCTATGTTATGGCGATTAGTTTCCCAAGTTGAAACTCATGGTTTCAACTGTGATTGAGAACTATATTTGAACACTTATTTACAACATGTTCAATCATGTTTCAGCCTCAACCTGTTATATGTTACTTTTTTTTTCTTTTCAATTTTCTTAACTGAGTAGGAGACTTAAAACTGAATTTAAGGAGCTACCCTAATGGTAATGCATGTCAGTCCCCAGGTCTTACACAGGTATTTCAGGTGTCCTAGATGATCAGAGCTACATTTAGCCCAGGAAACGTCAAGCAAAATAACGCAAATAATGAAGTTACAAATGCAACATGCTGACAAGCAAACAGTCACTGGAAAGAACTTACATAATGAAAAGCAGGCAGCTGTGCTGTGTGGATTTCTTTTTATCAGTAAAAAGCCTACATAAATAAAGCAGCAAATCAAGTTACTCTGCAACACTGGCTTTTATTGTACAACTGTCCTAAGTAATCATCAGAGCAGGCACACCTGCATCACAAAGGGCTGAAGTACCCAGTCCCCCAGGCCATACAGCAAGCCCTAGCCACACTGCTTCTGGACATTGCTTTTTAGCTCCTCTGCAGAATAAACAACTAAGTCCTCCTTCTACTCTCTTTACAAAATACATTCATCTGAACTATGCAGGATTCCATTAGCAAAACCTAAATATATTCCACAAAATGTTATCTCAGCATGTTTTGGTTGGTTTTTTTTTTCTTCTGGAAAATGTAATGCAACTGGTAATGAAAACAGAAATGCTTTGTAACCTGTAGGAAGCAAGTTTGTGGAACTAACGTATATAATTATTCTTTGACATCTTCATTCAGGCTCACTGAACAGTGAGAAACGTTATTCATGTTTCACCCATTCTGCTGCATCAAAGAGAAATTCCATAATCTACTATGGGTCACAGAACAACCTGTACCAGGTGTGTGTGTATATATATATATATGTATATATATACCTGTACCAGGTATATATACCCTATTTGGTATCTTAACCAGAAGATAAATCAAGAGAAATAAGGTATGGGAGAGACAGTTTTCATTGCATTAAGTGTAGATATTTCTTTTCTCTTATAGTTTGAAATACTCAATCTCATTGTATTTACCCCTAGATTTAAACAGAGTTCCTTTTTTTCCTTCAAAGTATTTTGTGTATACAGAAACTTTTAATGGATCCTATCTCGCCAACATTTCTGCATAAACAAGACCTAGTAATCCTCAAAAGGTCATAAAGCTACAGTTGTGAAAACATAATGAAGAGTAGTGACTCATACAAAAAGTACACTTCTAGCCTTTTTCCTGATAAAGAACATCCACTCCAGAGTTCCCAAAGTACCTGCAGGGGTCTCTTAAAGCTCAGAAGCTCTTCAAAGCCACCTACATGATGCACAATTTATGGCTCACTAGAAGTTTCTCAAGGTGAGGACCTACTTTTTAGCTGTTACAGGTCAGAACACCCACACTGATTTATATAAATAAGTTTCTTTATTTATCATGCCTATATTTCTTTATTTTTCATTGGTACACAGAGTAGCATTATCCTACAAGAAAGCATCAGAAGCAATGATGCTTTTTAATGACCTCTAATGAAAGCCATTAAAGACTAAAGAAACATTTTTTTTTTTTACTTTATTACTTTTTTTTTTTGCGCTGCAGGGTGATTAGCTCTTGTTACAATAGATTTCTCTTTATAAGCCCTGATATCCAGGAAAGATTTGTAAGGACCAGTTAAGCTTCATGTCTGAAAAATACCTGCTGCTCACACTGAACAAACTTCATGGTGATTTCCTCAATGTTATCCACTACTTTTCCAACAATTTTGGTTAAGATATTTAAATCTTCAAGTATGAGATCTACACAGCATAAGTACCTTCTAACAGATTGACTTTTTATATGTAAAAACTGAAACATGTGCCTCTGTTTGGGTAGTTTAACAGACAGCCAGCAGCTGTGGCACCCCTGTGAAAGCATATTTAGGAGAGGGCAGAAAGCCCATAGAGAGAACATGGGAGGAGTAGAAGGTATGTTGTGGAGAAGCTGCTATTCTCCTACGTGGCCTGTAGCCTGGGAGGCCTTGTTCTGATAGGCAGGAAAAGAGGAAGAGCAGGAGATAAGCCTTGTGTGGATTACAGTCGGCTGTACCCCGGTCTTGGCAGTGTGACCTGGGGTGACAGCATGGGGGTAGGGGTGTACTCAGGAGTGCAGATGACAGCCAGTGCTTGAAGTTTAGCCTGCTGAAGAGGGAGGACTATCTTTCCCACACATTTAAGTATTTTTTTTCCTTTCAATACTCAAACTAAGTAAACATTTAACTGAGAATAAACAAATATAAATTCTCCGAGTGAAAGCTGTTTTGCCCATGATGGTAACTGGCAGCGATCTCCCTCCGTTCTGACCTGCCGCTTCTCCCACTCACCCCGCAGGGAGGGGCAGCAGCTGTGCGCCTATCGCTCAGGCAGGCTGAAAAAAAACACTGAAAACTCCTATAGAATGAATATAAGAACTAATTACAGATTTTTGCAGACGCTAGAAGGCAGAAGTGAAGCCTGACGGGAGTTACCACGAGGATCGCGTATCGGTCTTCCCATCTGCGGTAAGAATCAGCGGGCAGCGCCGTCCCTTTGCCGTACCATCCGCAAAGCCCAACGGGCCGCAGCCACGCAGCCCCAGGCTCTGCCCTGCGCCCCCAGCCATGCCCGCCCCCCTGCTAAGGGAGGGGACGAAACCGCGCCCAGCAAGGCGGCCGCGCTGGACGTTACCTCTTCCCACTCAGCCTCCGCACCGTACTCGGGCGGCTTCACCTGCAGCCGAGCGAACAGGCACTGCTGCAGTAAGGCCCGAGCCAGCACCGGCCGCGCCGCCGCCATGGGACTGAGAGCACGCGGGAGGGAGCGGCGTGGGGGCGGGCGCGGAGCACGGGCGGGGCGGCGGCGGGGTCACGGTGCAGCGCGCTTTGCTTTTCCGGGTTAATGGGAGCAGTGGCTGCTGTGAGGTGCTTAGGCGTCTCGGCTGGGGCGTTACAAAGCCCAGCGCCTGGGTACCGGCTCATTGGCGTGTGTGAGGAGCTGTGGTCCGGCAGTGGTTTCTGCGGAGAGGCAGGTAGCCACGTGCAGAGGCTGTAGCTTTAGGACAGAAAGCGTTTTAACAGCTCGTACTTTTTTTTTAATAATTAAAAAAAGAAAAGAAAAACAAAAAACAAAAAAAACCACCCTACTGTTCTGGAAGCTGGTCGGTTGGTTGGCTTGTTTGGGTGAGAAAAATGCTGCTTAGCTTATTTTCTAGTGGGGGAGTGTTATTACATGCTGTGGAATAGCGTACTGTTTGGTTTCTGCATGAAGGCTAAAGCCCAGTAATGAGCAGTGGGAGGACTGCTTGTTGCTGCATTACAAACTGCGGTGCTTGGATTCCACTTACTGAGGTTTCACATCAGAGGGCTTTTTTCTTAGTGACACTGTTTGGAAGCAGAGGGAAAAACAAATAACACAGTTAAACAAAGGACACTTGTATAGCCAGGGATCAGAATTAAGATCTGAAGAGAAGTTAAAGTATTGCAGCTGTTGCTTCTGTGATCACTCAGGTATCTGACTCTGTGTCCTGACTCACTGAGTAGATGACTTTTGCCCTCCTCACTCTTGTGAGTTCTGATAGAGGTAGCGTGGGCTGGTGCAGAACTCAGCTTCTCAGAGTTCCTGTGAAAGACCTAAGATTTCATTTTCAGAGCCACATTTAAAAAAAAAAAAAAAAGTAGTATAGTAAGAAACTAAATTTTATTATTTGGCCATAGTCATTAGACAAGCTTAGTGCAGTTAACCGTTGCACAGCAAGAGGCAATGTGTTCTCATTAATAGCCATTGTTGCACAAAAGTTGTATTAAAATATGCTCTTTGGCATCAGTGTTCTGTGAGGTTGCTTTCAAAAGCAAACCTTTATAAAAATGATGAAATCACACTAGGTGGCTGGTGCGTAAACTAGCTCATTTGTTAGCTGTAGGGTACTGTTAAGTGTGAGCTATTTTTATTTAAACTTCACTGATTTTATTTAAAATACCTTCTGTTCATTTATTCTAAAGCTCTATCCCCAGACTCATTAAGAAGAACTTAATGAGGTAGAAATCCATTTAAAATGAGTTTCTTCATATATATTTGTGATATAAATTTATTGTTAAGGAAAATGAATATTACTAAAGCCTCTGAGCAAATTAGTAGAATACTAATAGATATCAGCATATATGGATATTAATTATTCTTTGTTGTGATACCATCGTTTACACCAGAATTTGATGCATTTATTCATATGGCATATGGTTGTGAACCAGTACATTGAACGAGTAGTGCAGGATCATTATTTGTATCATTCCCAATGTAGTTATATTGTTTTTTCCTTGGAAAAACAAAAATATGTTACTGTAGCATATGTTCCATTTGTTGAGTTTTATTGGGCCACAGGTGAAAGATCTCTTTTGTAAGTCAAAGAATGTTTGGCTAAATTTTAGCCATTTGAATTTGTGGTTGGTTTTTGTTTTATTTTTCTATGAGAGTACCTCTAGATTTCTAAGGAATGTATCCATGTATAAAATACATTTATATTTTATTATTATTATACTAAAGATGTTTTCCTACATGCTTTGGGTTTTATAGCTGTCCCAGAATATTTATTCTATCTTCTCTGCTTCTTGACCCTGCAGCAAAGAGTAGGTACTTGGAGATTGACTGTATCCAGAAGACCCTCTTTGTTATTTTCACATCAGTTCTTTTTAAGAGAGGTAGATGGCAGCATGAGTCACTTCTCACAAACGTAAATGTATGTGCATTTTTCCTTTAATTTGAGTGGTCATATATATTTCATGTGCATTTAATGGAGTGTCACCTTTTGTGGGGAGAGGTGGGTGCTGGGGCTCTGCCTCTGCTGGTACTGAGGTTTCTCTTGTTTATCAGAGGATAAAATGGTCTTTCAGAACCAAAATGATTTCAGATTGTCTTGAAGTCTTCCCTAGGGATTTTTTTTTTTTTTTGTTTGCATGTAATTTGGAACTTTGGTATTGTATGTCACTTGGCAGGGGCCACAGTTGACTGTAATATTGAAGGAACAAGATACATCTAAGAAGTTATTCCCCTGTCTGTGGTGTCTGAAACATTGATCTAAGGTTTTTCAAGCAGCTGTCACATCAACAAAGTGCCCCTGGGTAGTGTCATCTGTCTTGAAGAGAAACAATACAAAGCTGCAGCCTAGCACTTAGATAGCAAAGACACAAAATAGGTTGATACAATGAGTTATATTTTTGTCTTGTGGGACAGATGTAGCTGAAAGGGTGTAGAGTGTTGATGGAGGAATTATATTTGAACATTACGTTTTCTGTATTGTCCAGCGTGGAACTCTCTTCCTATGTGTACAGAGGGGGAAAAAATACAAGTAAGAAAAACTACCAGATCCTATATAGGGAAGGAGTATTTATTCAAAGCACTTGAGAACACTTAGTAAATAATCACAGGTGGGTACCACTGCAGCCTGGAATGCTGTGATAGAGCTGATGGACTCTGCTGTGACAGCTAATACAGGTTGCTGCTAGGAGGCTCTTCCATCATCAGAGATGACCAGGAAAATGGAATTTGCTGCAATGAAATGGCAGGTCTTCATCATAGGAGATACAAAGCATTTTGCGTTATTTTCTGTAAAATTGTTTAATTTGTAAAGCACATTTTTAATTGACCATGCTGAAACAGCAAATCAATCCCTATGAGAAGAAAAAGAAATAGATGTGCGAATCTCTAGTTTGAGAGAGTTAAAATGGCATGATAGCACAAAATGAAAAGGGATTATTTGGTTGTTTTTAAAGTGGTGATTACAGTCTTCTGAGCTGAGTCAAGTTGCTTTCTGTTCTTTCCCTTGCTTCCAGTTTATTTTATTTATGGTTTTGAGTTGTCTAGCTTACCTAGGCTATCCATAAGGAGATATGACTCTTTGTTTGAACTGTTGTTTCTTTTTTGGTGACCTTTTCTCTGTCTAGTTCAATTAAGGTTTTTTTTTTTTCCCAACAGCTTCAAAATTGCTAGGTGAATACTGAATTAATGTATTTAGCTGAAAGCTCCAAATTTCCCACTACCTAAATACAGTCATCACAGTGTCTGTTATTTAGCACTAATTTGTCTCATACTCAAATCATCTTCAAGACATTAAGGTCAAGAACATGTCTCCCTTCCAAACCAGAGGTATTTAAAAGTGTAGAATGGGGAGGGAGCATGAAGACTTACCTTACCACTTGTCAAGCATCAGAAACCATGTGGAATAAGTGTTTTCACTTGAAGACCCTAAGTGTTGCACAGTACTGGTGTAGAAAGCTACTGGAAGTAGCTCTTTGAGAGAACATATGAGGTGAAGATGTGATCTGCTTGCTTACCATGATTGCCTTAAGGAAGCAGCAACACTATTAATTAGTTCCTTTCTCTACAAGTTCTACACATGTTCATCTGCTTGTGACAACTACGGTACTGTTCCTTGCTTGACTGTCTACTGCATCAGTTGCTTATCTCTGCATGACTGACACATGTTAGTTTTAAAATAAATTCTGCCGATTCCACTGGAGCAGGATACGGATCAGTAACAGTAACCTACCTGGGTATGTACCATAGGGTCTGATTATAACACTTCATACAGTTAGAAGTTAGAAGCAATGCAGTACTCTTTTTTTTTAATACTATAGAGGAGTGCTTTTTGGAAATTTAATCTGATTTCTTTCATTTTCAGTGGAAAAAGTTTGGTGGTAGTGTGAGGACACTGGACAAAAAAATGCATGAGCATCTTGTAGGTGTTGGAACTATAATTTTCCATAGTAGATGCTGTAGGCCAAAATCTCAGTTAGCACAAAGCCTCATGTTATTACTAAAAAATGTACATGAATTGAGATGCTGCTCTTTCCATTCCTTTGACACGCACCATGAAGGGTCATTTATTATTCACTATGTACCTGAAGGCCTTCTTGCCTTTAGTCACTGTCAAGTGTGCAGGAATAATCAGGCTGCGTGTCTTTTTTGCATTTATATAGATGGCTTTCAAATGAAATTCTGCAGCTTTAGGCCAAAAGTTTTCTCCTTTAGCCATAGATCCTGTCATTTTTCCTTTCCTCAGGCATACTGACCTTAGCAAGTTGGGAAGACATGCGCACAAATGATAGGTCATTAGAAAATTCTCTGAACAGCAAACCTCTGAAGTCAGCCCAAGTTCTATTTGCTATACATCATGATAAAACTGGAAAGTCAAAGGAGGCACAAATCATATGCTCAGTCTGTAATCTATCAGTTGCTGAAGCTGTTGTTTCCCTAAACTCAACCTCTTTTGCAATGTAGTTCAACAAGATTGCCAAAGCTCACTAAACTGAGTAGGGCTGACAAATTTTTGGCAATTCTCTTCAGTGTAAGATCATGCTGCCACAACAAAAACAGGCATTTCTTTTTGCCATAACAAAGCATCACAGTAATGTTGGTCTATAAGCTTGTTTTGCAATTATATTTTGGGAATTCATCCCATTAAAAGAACAAAATGCAACTGCAGCAATTGTAGGACTTCTACAGTCAGTCCTTTGTTAATGATTTGTTTCTGCTAATGTAATACTGTATATAATCTGTCCATGATTTTAGCCAACAGAAGAAGCAGGTTATCTTGTTTCTCCTTAGATCTTGTGGGGGGGGGAAAAAGAGGATGTTTAATGCAGTGGAATAAAGAGCAGAGGACTGTAGATTCTAATGAATATTCATTGAGTTAAGATAGTACACCACGTGTCAAGAAAAAATGTGACTTGCTATGAATTAACACATCTCAAAGAGCTTCCAGTGTGACCAGTTGTTAATATTTAATTTTAATGCTTTCTGAAAGCACTGACTTTTTTTTCAGTGCGTGTTTCTGAACTCACTGGGAGTGAGATGATTTCTTTACAATGATACGTGATACCTCAGAAGTACTGCAATGATAAAAGGGGTATTTTTTCATATAATCTTTGATTTATTATTTTTTTTTCAGCTTCTAAAGAGTCATGCTTTCTTTTACAATAGATGCTAAATCACTGCTACAGGGTGGAAAAAACTGTCTTCAATATTAGATGTTCTAACAGGATGAAAAAAAACTGTATTTGTTAATTTTTACAAATGCTTTTTTTCCCCCCAGATAATCCTCCAGTGGTTTGAAAAATTTTAAGTATATGAATAAGTGGGTAAAACAATTAGTTGATAAGTTGAAACATTTTAGTATCAGCTAAAGATATTTAATTCTCCCCTGGATAGTCTGTTACTTACAGGTCAAAAAATGATAGCTTTCAAAGTGACAGTTTAAGTGAGATTCATGTCTGCATTAAAACAACTTTGTTTTGGTGCCCAAGGTAAAATGTGTTTTAGCTACTATTGGAGAAAATACATCTATTATGCTTTGAAGCTTAAAGAACGAATCAGCTCAACTTCAGGTAAATGTCTAAGCTACATCTAGGAAGTTCATTAATTGCAAGAAATATCCTTGGATGCTAATTCATCTCTGCTTTATTGGTTCCTATCATACTTTTGGCCATGGTTAACTTGCATCTAAAAAATTAGTAATTAGATAATCTTCCACAGTTTGCTCTACTAAAGGAACCCCCCTTTTTTTTTCTTTTGCATTTATATGGTAGGCAGCTTATGATAGGATTTCAATTCCTCATTACCACAGCAGCTTTACTCTTCATTAGTCTACTACTATGGGTCTAAATCTTGTATGTGGGAGATCAGCAGGATTTGAGATAGGGTTTCACCATGTCCAGTTCTACTGAATCAGCAGCATCTTGTCTGTAAGACAAATGTTATTTTAGCAATATTCTTAGATATGAGAGAAAAAAAGGAAAGATTTTCTATTGCAAAAGTCAGATCGCATAACGTAATTCAAAATATACTATTAGAGGATATTGCTTGCTACATTTTGAAAACAACTCAAATAAATGAAATCTAAGTATTGAAATGGACAGAATATTAAATGTGTTAGGAACAGTGATAACATCTGTAATAGTAGACATTTTAGTGGTCTGCATGCTCTGCCATTGGATCCATGTGTAGATACCCATGTATGAGACATTAAAAATGCAAAATTTAGTTTAAAATTTAGTAAAAGTTCTGATTAGTGCTGGAAAACTGTCATGTGGAGTGAATATGAATATGCACCTAGTTTAAGTGCCTAAGCAAAGAAATAGAATTCTGTAATTGACTTTGCTACCCTTTAAGTACCTGTTATCCATGACTACAGATATGACCATGACTCAGAAGGTGACAGAGCGAGACAGAGCCAATGAAAGTTCCTTTCTCAAAACGGCTTTCTGAAGTCCTAAGTGTGAGCTAATAAGCCAAGCAGTGAATTAAACAGTCACTCAGTGTCAGAAAAACAACTTTGTATTTTCCTGTAATAGTTATATTTCCTCATTTCAATTTTTGATTAAATTGGTACTATAAAGGGTGCAATCCAGTCCCTTAGTGGCAGTAATTAGAACATAAATTGCATTTATTTCTGTGAGAGTTGATTTTTAGATCTTAGTTTTGATACTTATTGGCCAAGAGCATTCATGCATGATTCACTAGAAAATTGTCTACACCTGAGGCAATTACACAGCTACTTTGTAGGAAGCTGTTAACTGAGTCCCTCTTTTCTTCATGTTTAGAGAGCTGGGATGGAAATAAAACAGAAGCTTATTTTCTCAACCAGGAGGAACTTGCTCAGCTTCTTGTCTGTTACACTTCAAAGGTACTCTAGTCTAGGCTATATTTTCCTTGGCCTATGCTTTATATTAAGGAGAAGATGGCTATAAACATGCTCATCTTCCTCTGTTCTGTCTAAAGAAACATGCTGTTTGGCATTAGATGTTAGCATAAATAAAAATCTGAGATGCTTAGGCACTTTTTTTCTTTTTATGCTTTGGCGTAGAAGATCAGAGATCAAGAACTTTAGATTAAATTCATGGATCTGCCTCTGGCCCCATCTAAAGCCATGAGGAGTAGTTACTTTCCTTCACAGTGGTGGGTTAACTGGAGAAATAAGCATTCCAATAATCTGCTGTTCTGCCTTCACAGTTTTGGACTGCCATGGTTTTTATATGTAGTACTTGTAGAAAGTGCTCTTGGATCGGATTTATTTTCATCTGATGTTTCAGCATGCATGGATCAATCTGGAAGATACTGCTGCTGGCACAATTGTGTAAGTGGTCCATATAAACCCAAAGAGCTTAAGTTCCCTTTGGTGATGTCTTTGGTGATTAGGACTGCTAATGTACTAGAAATTACAAGAAAAGTATTTTATGGCCACAGAGCAAAAGTGAATTTGTTTGGAATATGAGACAGATTTTTAAAATAATTAGTAAATACAAAACCTGCTAGATGTTGGTGTTGTTTCTCAATTAGTCTCATTGTTCAAATTAGATTAATTTGCTATACAAAACTCACTTATGCTCCAGGTTCCGATGCTAACAAATGCTTCCTGTAAAACAAATTCATTACCAAGCAAATGAATGAAGAACAGAATTAAAGTGATTTCACAAATTGAAATTGTGCCTGAATGACATTATTGCTCAAACCAGTGCTGTCATATGGTTTAGTGAAGCTTTTATGGAAGTGAAGATCTTAATTCTGCATCTGTATGATGTCAAATGCAAAAAAAAAATAAAAAAAATAAAAAAAAATTCCTTCCACCTCTGGAATTACAGTTTACGTGCTGTTGGAAGAGAAGGTATTTCTACCCTTCAGTGGTTGTAGCACATATGGCAAAGAATTGGAAAGTTTTAAAGAAAAAAAATCAAAGCTTAGAAGTACTGAAAGACCATTAATTGGAGTGAGCTAGTTACATTCATGCAAGGAATAAATATCTTGTGTACCTAAGAAAATAATTATGTACCTTTGTTACTGAAAGGTGTATTCAGCAAAACAAATGTCTTCATTTTCTGCACTACTTGCTAACGACTGCTTAAGCTGTCTTCACTGTGATGTTACTGCTATTATAGTACATGATATGTACCTGAAGAACTTGATTGACTTCAGAAGAATCGAGCAGTAGTTTAAAAAAAGATTCTCTTCTTGACTGTGAAGATCTGCACAGATCATAGCATCCACACAAAAGTAATATACAAACTAAATTGGGTTCAATCCTCTCAGGCCTTGGTCCTCATTTAGTGAACAGGACTAAAGCAGAGAACTTAATTTCTCAGTTTAAGGTCTAGGAAAGTGTCTGCATAAAATGAAGCTACTTATGTGGTCATAATGGAAATATTAATATACATTATAAAGAAAAATGTGTATTACTACTGTGTCTTCTGTGTCTTCTTGTTTGTTAATCTATTACAGTTTAAGTATTGCCATGTATTATGGTATTTCGTGTGACACCACAGGTAAACCTCTCTTGTTTAATACAGGTATTTACAATCCCTTGGGCCAAATGAACTTTGCAACAAAAGGGCAGAAATGCCTCACCATCAGGGGTGCAGGCCCTTAATATCCAAGCCTGGCAGGAAGACTACTGGCAGGAAGTTACACTACTACATTCAATTGTTAAAATTTAAATAAGAAACTAAAAGCAGTTATGGCATTTTGGAAATGGCTTCCTTATTTAAGAGCAAATTTAATGGCCAAATTCTACTTATCATATTCAGTACAGCCTAGTGCCATAGTAGCTTCCCTATTGCTCTTAAAATTACTTTTAAAAATGTTGAAAACCAGTTCTACACACCTACCACTGATCCTGCATTGCTGATTTTGTTTGTGATGTGTGTTCTGCACTTTAATACTGCCTCTAACACTCAAGGTAGGAAAATAATGCAAATTTCTTGCAAGGAAAAAGTGAACAGTTTCCTGCAGCAGCGAAGAATAGGCCCTTGAGGGAGATCTCTAATGCAGTTTTTGAATTATATGGCTCGTTGGTTGCCAGTGTTCTTCTGTATTTTGGTTTTTCAGTAGGGTGAATTAGTGGGAAGCTATTTGACCTCTTCACCTGTCTGTGCTCCCTGTGCAAAATATGCTTAAATGGTTACAGCAAGAACAAGAGACTGAATGAGCATCACTTGAAGGAAAGCAAAAGTTGCGTTTTTGTCACTGTAATTTTTCTCTGGCAGCTGAGCACTAGAATAAGTCTTTGAAAATGGTGGCTTTGAGCAAAATGTCTGATTAGGGCTTTTAATAGTACGAGTCAAAAAAAAATATTAAATGAGTGATGAAAATTCTTTATGTGATAAAGGGGCAATGTTTATTATAGCACTTTAAATGGAATATAAAATCCCTGATCCATTACACACTACAGCAGATGCCAACAAAAGGTGCTATATGCTTTGTTTTACCTTTGAAAACTAAGGGCCAGAAACTGCGGAGGTCTGAAGTACTTCAGTATTACTGCTTGGATAAACAGGCTATTCATGGGATTGTCTGGAATAAATCACGTCAGAAGGCTCTGAATTCCTCCCACCGCACAGCCCCAGGCCTCGTGGTGATTTACTCGTTCATGCCTGAATGCTTCAAATGACACTCACATGACATAAGGCACCTTACTTAGAACAATTTGAATTGCACTTAAAATATATATATTAATACCGAAAAAGAGGCGCCGGACCTGGCCACGGGTTCTTTGAACTGATGGCTCAATGGATGAAATGGCATACATCTGTTATATCTGCAGCCGACACAAACCACGGAGGGCCACGATGCGCTCAAACACACTGAAGGCCGAGGCGAGCCTCGCCGCCGCGCGCAAGGCAGGCGGCCCGCGCCCTTCCCATGCCCAGACGAGAACCGCGGCCTCCTCGCGGCCAGCAGTCCCAAGCGCCGCTTCCCGTTTGCAGCCACGCCTGAAAAGCCCTCAGGCCTCCACAGTCCCGGCTTGCTCGGACGCGGTGAAGATGTACGGACCAGCTCCAGGGCCGCCGGTGCTCGAACGCTGTGGAAGTACGTGGGGCAACGGCGCGGGCCGGCGCAGCGCAGGGGGCGGGCCGAGCCGCGGCGGCGCCATTTCAGCGCGCCCGGCGGGAGGCAGGGATGGGGGCCGTCGCTTGGCGCTGGGCGCTGCGCGTCGCTCGATTCTCTGGCTGCGGCGGCGGGGCGCTGGCGGTTCTGCGGCGCCCTCCGAGAAGCGGAGCTCGCGCTGCTTCGTCGTCCGGCTCCGCGGTGGGTGAGGCGGGAGCTGCCCGCGAGGGCGGTGCGGGAGGGGAGCTGGACCTCGCGAGCCTCGGGGTGGGGCGGATCAGGAGAGTTCTCGGCTTGGTTCCTGAGCGGTTGTTTCGGAATCTGCATCGAAGTTGCTCCGAAGTAGCCTCCTTAGGGGCTGGGTTTAGGGCCGCGTTAGCCATGGGGCTTTAACGGCGCGGGCAGCCTAGCCGGCGGACCGAGGGAAGGAAGAGGAGTCTCTCCTGGACCCTCTTTCATTCTGCAGACGTAACGCCTGACTGCTCACCGTCTCCAAAACTTGACCACCGTGTGGTGAACGGGGTGCTGCCCTCTGAGATGCTCACCCCTGTGCTCTGCTCCACGCCCCAGTCCCTGGGGCACAGAGGAGCTGCTGTGTGCCTGCCCTCTGCTACCCGGGGCGCGCTCTGGATAAGCAGCTCGTAGGTGCGCTGCAGGAAAGCAGCAGGGGCTTGGCGGGCTGCTCTGCACTTGGTGCTGCTTTGCCCGTGCTTTTAGCTGCATCTGTTGTACTTCTGATGCCCCTAGGTCGCTCTGCCTCAGTGACTGGCAGCTTGGGATGCTGGAGCTCTCGTTTTGATGATACAGTGCTGAAAATACAAACAGCTGATGGCCACCATGTGTATTAATTGTGGTGATGCTAAAGCTAGTAAAAGCTGATGTGCAGCCTTGACTTGAGCTTTGGAGGTATTCAGGAGAAGAGAAGGCAAAGGGTTTCATTTTTAATCCTGATGATTCCATTGAGAATCTTGCAAATCAAGTAACTTGAAGGTGATTTTTAGAAGTCTCCAAATTAGCGAAGGGGTTTTGATTTATTTTGCTGGAGGCCCTGATTCTTTTTGAGGTCTGAGACTAATCACATTTAACTGTGTCTAAACAAAATATCCCCAGAGTCAGTGCTGAGTGTAGGCCCCATTCCTTCAAGTGATGCTGAGCAAGAGGCAGGTTGCTGTAGGAGTGCAACAGGATTTTTAGGAGCAGTAACAAGGTTGTCTCAGCACAGGTTGGTCTGCACTTATTCACTTTTTCTGCAGACGGTGCATGTTGATACCACAACTGCTCTGTACTGTTCTTTTTTTGATTAGTCCTCGGGCTCCAGGGATGAGGTTCTACAAGACAAACGCACTCGGATCCTGTCTCGGGGGCTGCCCAAACAAAAGGCCATAGAAGGAGTTAAGCAGGTGTTGGTCATAGCTTCTGGCAAAGGGGGAGTTGGAAAATCAACGACAGCAGGTAAGATTTTTCTTCTTGTTGTGCCATTGTGTTTTTATTGTTTTGTAATAGATATGTAAATATTTGTGTGCTTGTGTGGTTTTTGAATTACGTTCAGCTGGCAGCCGTGACAGCTGACAGATTACAAAGTTTTACTTCAAGGCAACAGAGAAGTGTGTTTTCATGCCTCCCTCTCTCAGTCTGGTATTATGTACGCAGCAACTAAACGTTTTGTTGCAAAATACGTAGGTTTTCTCTGATGTTTTACTTTGTATTCTGTGCAAAGTACAGAATTCCTTTGCAAGGAATATTTGGACAGTTGAGTCCCGCTAACAGAACCCTCAACCTCTGTGAAGATCTGCAGCTGCTGAAAATCTGTATGAATGCAGAGGAACCAGTTTTGAAGTGGGTGTTGGTAGAGCAGGCAGCAGAAATAATGTGCTTGTAGTAGTGCAGTGCTGTCCTTGGACAGCTTGCTTTGAATTGGGAGTAAGCTAAAATGGTGGGGATTATGTGCTGGTGTAGTGATGCTGTTACTCCTTTGCTAGCATCTTAGGTGTAACTCTACAGTGTAATAGTGGCCTATGTTGTCATGTGCTCTGTAGGGATTATCAATATTTCAGTGTTCAGAAGGTTCAACATCAATTCTCTGGCCAGTTTTCTCAACTACTTGTAAAGACATTTCATAATGACAAGTGAACAGCGGTGATAAAGTATACGAAGCAGTGAGAGGCTATTGAATCACTGTGAACTCCCAACTTTTCTTACCCACATGTTAGGCTTTGGAATCAAAAATCAGAAAAGCTTGAATTCTAGGAAGTAGAACAAGATGACGTGGATTCCTAGTACTACATATAGCTGCTTGAAGTTAAACAAGTTTGCGTTTAAGTGTCTGGGAGTTAAAAAAATAAAAATAAAAATAAAGAAAATCAGTATTCACCAGACATTAAATGAGAGAACTGAAATGTAAACAGACTGTTTACTGTATTGTTTGACCAGTTACTGCATTGGACAGCCTTTTGTTGGTGATTGCATTTATTTTATTTACAATGTTGAGAAGAAAGAGGACTTTAGATTCTTGATGATTAACATAAGTTGAATGTTTCAGATGAACAGTTTATTAAGACAAAATAATTTGTATGGAAAAAAAGTAGTAGAGGCTTGTGGGAAATACGTTTGGTTACACTTTCCTTAACTGAGAAGGAAAGGAGAATGATAATTGGTAATTAGAGGTGGTGTATATGTAGCCTTAAAGTGCCACAGAAAATATCATCAATCTTATCTACATTCCTCTGAAGGACTGTCAAGGCTGCTAGTGTTCTTTCTCCCCGTGGGTTTGTATTCCAGTTGTTCCAGATCTTCCTTTCAGATTGAGTGGATGTGTAGTGGGGTTGAGTTTGTGAGGGTCATTCTTTAATCTGTCTGTCTTTAATCTGTCTCTGTGTTTCTGTTGTGTAATTTTTCCTATCTGTTGCTATACACAACAGCGTATAGCTTTTGTATTATATTCCTAGTTGCTTCTAGCATTTCTGAAATCAACATAGTTTCCGATGAAAAGATTAACTTTAAAAAAATAAAAATATTTTTAATCTGTGTTTAAATACTTACATTGTTTTGATTATTTTCTTCTCTCTAGTATGAGATTTTTTGTTTGTTTGTTTGATTCCTGTTTCCTGTATTTGTTTCCTGTTGAGTTCTATTCTTTTACAGTGTTCTGCTAGATTTCCTCAGTCTTGGTGCAGCATCCCAAAATTGGTTCTGGCATGAGAAGAATTCAGAGGGTGAACTTGAAAGAATAGAAGTTTCTAATTTCTGAAATTCATAGTATTTCTACTGTGTAAGCATGGTGTGGCTTTCTGAATTGCATCTTGTTAATCCTGCAGATTGAAGAGAATATAACTACTGATAATTTACTTTGGTTTTCTTCAGTCATTTCCAGCAAAGGCTATGGAGATAGGATTTTTTTATTGTTCAGGATAACTGATGTAGTCAAGACATGGTGAAACATATCCCATCACTTCTTTTTTTTCTTTTTTTTCTTGTATTTTTTTTTTTTTTTTTAAAGTTTGCAGGTAGGATGCATTAATCTTTTCAATGCAGTGGCCAAAATCCATTTGTTCATGTGTCCCACCTGGACGTAAGTTTGGTCATTGGCCAACTCTGATCTCCTTGTATTTCCTTCTTGATGCTGGCTAGTTTAGCATGGGCTAGAGATAGCATGGTGACTTTGTGGCATCCTATGAAGACAAGAGGTGATGGTGAAAAGTATTGGACTTGTTGAATATGTATGCCCTACTTCTTTACAGTCCAGATCATGTTGGAGTCTAATTGTGAGGGCCCGTGTTAATGTTTAGGGTCAGGTTAAGGTTGGGGTCCTGTGTTTCTGAGCCTTCTTGGAACTCACAGCAATACAAAGATAACCAGGTGCAATAATCAGCTGGGATTCGAAATAGTATGTTGTATCCATCTAGAAATGCAGCTAATGAACTTGAGCTTTCCCAGTATATTATTTCCACTGTCTTCCTTCTTTCCCTTCAGTAGTCAAATACCTTTTATTTAAGATGAATTGTAGATCATACTTTAATTTTCACACATTATAATTGTATGGGAAGAAGATAGACTGAAGTGATAGGCATATTAAAGCAGTATGGTGAGTAACTTGCTGCTTCCCTTGTGCTTCTTCAAACGTGTTCTGCAGTTTATTTATTTGTTTAATCATTGGCTTGCACGTTTTTCTCCTTATCCTTGATTTGTAGGTCAGGCTCCAAGTTGCAGAGGATTAATTCTCTCTGCTTGGTTAAGGGAATAGTTAATCATGCATCTATTTAAGTAGCAATCTGAAGAATAAAATCTATATGCTTTATCAGCTTAGGAATAAACAGTACCTGTGCACATCTTAGGGAAAGCGGTATAATTTTTGTTGTTAACCTTCTCACTGTTTTGTTTAATAAAACTTGCTACTATTTATACTAAATGCTCTAAGCTGTTAATGTCTTCCCAACTTGCTCTCAGTACCTTTGTCCTCTTTCAGCAGGACAAGGCTGATTGCAGCTTATCTTTCTTAAAATGCTTCGTAGGCTGAAATACGGCAATGTGTAAAGGAGGCAAAAGGTTTTGTGCAGGAAAGCTGTGAGGGTTTTTGTTTGTTATAACATGTTACTGTTTGGAATACAACATGTACTGTTTGGTTACACTGAAGTTTCTAGATCTTCCAGTATAGCTGAAGCTGGTGAATGATGCTGTTTCGTCTGTGTGTTTTCTGCACAAGTATTG